ATATCAGTCTCGTCATCGGTTATGGGGGATCGGACAATGTATACAAAGGATACATAGATGGTGATCAAAAAGTTGTAGCAATCAGACGGTCAAGAACTAGAGAGTCCAGACTTAACATGGAACATGAGCTGCAGTCAAAGAAAGAGATTCAGATGCAGACTTTGCCAAGTGAGGATCATGTTACTTCTCTCATTGGATACTGCGAAGCCAATCGGATATGATGCTAGTATATGCCTATATGACAAACGGGACACTCCATGAGCAACTCCATGACCCTTGTAAGGATCCTCTTCCATGGAAGCGGAGACTTCAAATCTGCATCGGCGTTGCACGAGGACTAAGCTACCTTCAGTCTGTAATCAAGCAGACGACTCTCCACCATGATTTTAATTCAAACAACATTTGGTTAGACGAGAACTGGGTCCCCAAGGTTTCGGAATGGGGGCTGTCCACAAAGAAAGGCAACAACAATGCTCCTATGATTGTTATAGGTAATTGGGGCTATTTAGATTCAGATTTCGTACGTGATGTACAATTAACAGAAAATATCTGGCTGGGAAAATATCACCAGCTAGCCTTAAGATGTTCATAGAAACTGCTGGCAGGTGTTTACTTGATCGCGGAACCGAAAGGCCATCAATGGATGAGATTGTGGCAAACCTCGAGGCTGCATTAAAGCAGCAAGAGGCTGCAGATGGTAATAGGAGTCCTTAACAACTGCAGAGTTCACCAGAAGTAGTTCTGTTCTCAACTTGTTGCTACAGTAGCACTTCAAAATGTGACTTCAACCCAAATAAACTTTAGGACTCAAACATTTGCTCTATATTCTTTCTATAACTAATAGGCTATCTAGTTTTCAGTCAAGAGAATCACTCAGATTTGTGGAGAGGATTATTTATAATTGTGGACGTATTCGGTAGAGATTAAAATTGGATTAAAATTGAAAAATTAGTCGTTATTGTTGACTTTTATTAGACAGTGGGACCCAATAACGGCCATATTTTCAATTAAATGTGTGTTTGATCCACATTATTTTGGAAGAATGTATTTTGGAATAGTAGATTGATGGAGAATTTGTGGTTGAAAAAGAAGGAAAAATTATTAATGTGATGAAAAATATTATTTTATTGATAAATGTGTGATTNTATTTTTGGAAAAATGTATTCTGGAATAGTAGATTGATAAAGAATTTGTAGTTGAAAAAGAAGGAAAAATTATTGATGTGATGGAAAATATTATTTTATTGAAAAATGTGTGGTTGAAAATGAGTAGAAGAATGAAAATTTTAATGTATACCAAACAGGGGCTAAAATTGGATTTTAATCTTGGGCAAACATGCTCTGTAATTGTATTCTCTTGTACATTTCCTCTACTATTAGACATTTGAAGTTTCTGCAACAAGTAAATTTATTAAGCTTATATTATATTCAAGCACGTAGAAGTTTATTTAGTTAACATCACTCTGTGGATAAGTTCTTCCATCTTTTCAAGAAGTTTTAGACTTCAGTTTATGAAAGTTAAATCTGAACACTTATTACTTTACCCAACTCGGTAGCCTGTGTTTGCATAACAATATTAGTAACTTAAAAGTTACTTTTACTACCCTGTTAAAGTCAAACTCTAATTTAAACAACACATTCAAAACTACTATTCATTATTATCCAACATTTTGTGGTCCCACCAATCTTCCCCCTAAAAAGTTCTTTAAAAATTATTAATAATCAATCTCGAACATAAGCTTTAGAGCTTGATGTTGACTAGTTGTTTCAATCATGCTACTTATACAATTTTTTCTTACAATTTTGGTTGACAATTCACACTTGTTAATCTCACATTCATCCATAATTCTAGTTATTTTTATTGTAAAGGGGTAACTATACCATTAAAGACAAAGAACCCACTCATTTACTGAGAGCTCCCAAGTGTAGCCATCTATTTCTTGTCCGAAGTTTCCTATTTGCATAAGTTAATGTAATTTTCAAGCACAAAGCATAGAAATTGAGTGGAATCTTGAGACTTGAGAGTGAATGAGTGAGAATGAACATTGATATGAAGAAGACATTTCTTTACTTGGCATTAGCCATCTTTCTTGCATGCCTTAGCCAAAATGTGCAAACATGAGACTGTCACACTATTAGCACCACCAGTGCCACCGCTGCCAGTTGCAACGCTACCAAAATTGCCTACTGCATTACCATTGATGAAGAATTTTCAATGGAATTGGATATAAGCAGAAAGATTTTGGGTTGGAGTGGGAAAATTTATCACTTTCTCGCTAAATAAAAGAAGACCCTTCTGTAACTGAGACGTATATAGAAGTTGGATACAACAAGCTAAAATCTTCAATAAATGACCCTGAGGCCTGAACTACATGAATGCCTGCACTGGGGCTGCGTGATGCAATCATCTAGTACTGGTTGCATTTTATTAACTAGTAGCGTCTTCATTTGTGAGTTAATAACAATATCCTTGTTAATTTAGTTGTTACTATAAGCTTGCTCTATATTGTTTGTCTCCAAATGATGCAATGGGGTATTGGCCAATGGGTGGGGGGGGGGGGTGTCCTACCTCCTAACGGTAGCCATTTATTTCTTATCCAAAACTTTCTACTATCAGATATATTTGTATACCTCTTAACAATCATATAATTTGAGTTGAACCTGGGGAGTGAGTGCTTGAGAATGAATATTTGACATAAAGCAAAAATTTCTTTATTTGGCATTAGCCCTCTTTCTCGCATACCTTAGCCAAAATGTGCAGAAAGCCAAATGTTTTAGCATCACCACAACTAACGCAGCTGCCGCTTTGTGCAACGGTACCAGAATATTAATGGTAATTCTCTTCAAGACTATTCCTGTTTTGCCAGATTTGGATATAAGTAGAAGGAATCTTTTGGTTCCCAAAGTACCATCAAAGACTATTCCTGTTCTAGAACCAATGAAGCTCTCCTGAGACGCAGATGTACAAGCAAGTTGCATAGATAGACCGAACAAATTCTACGATAAACAACCTTGCAATTACAAGAATACGTGCGACCACCCTGTCATGTAATGTAATCATCCAGCAGTGGTGTGGCATTTTAGTATATTGCAGCATCTTCTTTTGTGGGTTGTTCTTGTTTGTGCCTATAAATAATGCAATTTGTATTCTGTTTCTTGTCTATTAGATCGTGAGCTATTCAGTCTCCATTACATTAGCAAGTTGTAATGGAATTTGAAGAAATTATAACAAATTTATATGAAGTTTGATTTTCTCTGCAGGCACGCAATTTACAGGTTATGTTTATGCTTTCCAGGGGAAGAAGAGATCTTTAAGCTTCTGTAGCACACACCAGACCAGACAATACTATACACGTGTTAATCATTCTACCCAATTCTCTTCAAGAGAACTTCCCATTGCTTCTGGATTGCAACCGGTGGTGGAGCCGCCAGACATTCTTAATTGTGAGGTCAAAATTAAGTTAGAAATTATATTTTTTCAAGCAACATAATATTAATGAAAATAATTCAATACATTACTGCAAAAGTTGTCTATGCATATTCATACATTGAAATGATCGTATAATTAGATCGTTATCAATATTGTCAAATACATCATCCTAACTATATACAGTTAGACTATCATTCAACAGTTGAATAAACAATTCAATTGCGTGGGATGAGGGCCTTGAGGAGTCAGGTCTCGAGGGGAAGAAAAAATGTGGTCGGTCATCGACATTGGTGCAGATGAGTTGAGTAGAAAAATGCAATTATTTAGTAAAAATGATAAATCTAGGTATTGAGAGAAAAATGGGATTGGGAATTTGAGAGATGTTGGGAGGTACGAAGTGGAAAAAAAAATTAATATTTTAAAAACAAAATTTCAAAAATTTCTATGAGATCAGCTGACCCCACATGCTTGCTACACTCTTTTTATCATGACTTGTTTGCAGCACCAAAAGAGCCAAATGTCTGAGCATCATTGTGGCCGCCCCCAGCAGCGGGCCGAGGTGCAATGCAACAATAGCCAAGTGCGTTGCCAAAGATTGACCTTGCAACTATTGAAATTTTTTTGCGCTCGGGATATCTGATGATCTTCGAAGAGTCTAATGTGGTTTCCAAGCTCCTCCGTGTTCTTTATTG